GGATCTGACAAACAACATGAACTCTTTAATACACTGTTTGTTTTGCTGTTTAATGTAGGATATGGTTTATATTGCACGCTAGATACAATAGTTATATATTTTTTGTTTCATTTTACTATGTTAGTTGGTGGGAAGAATTGGACTGTAGCAATGTATTTTGTCACTTATGTTTTATTTTTGTCACTTATCTAGTACATCAGTTCAGGTGAATTAGATAGGGTATAGAGTACAGAAAGGATTACTTAAAGCTTAACTCCAGGCACAAAAAAAAACAACTTTCATTTAAATCTATTCCTCAATAGCTACAAAGGATACACATGACCCAGCCATAACATTATGACCATTGACAAGTAAAGTGATTAACAATGTTTATCTCATTACAATGGCACCTGAAAGTGGATGAGATATATTGGGCAGCAAGTGAACAAGTCCCTGAAATTGATGCATTGAAAGCAGAAAAAAAATAGGCAAGCGTAAATATTTGAGCAACGTTGACAAAGGCCAAATTGTAGTGGCAAGAAGAGTCAGAGCATTTCCAAAACTGGAGCTCTTGTAAGATGTTCCCATTCTGTAAGGGCAGGGCCTACCAAAAGTGGTCCAAGGAAGGAGAACTGGAAGACCAACGACAGAGTCATGAGCGGCCTATGTGGAGCGAAGGCTGGCCTATGTAGTCCGATCTAAAAGAAGAACTAATGTAACTCAAATTGCTGAAACAATTAATGCTGATTCCAATAGAAAGGTGTCAAAACACAGTGCATCTCCGTTTGTTGCATATTGCTGGGTAGCCACAGATCAGTCAGGGTGCCCATGCTGACCCATGTCCACAGCCAAAAGTGCCTACAATGGGCACATGAAAATCAAAACTGGGCCACAGGAGCAAAGGAAGATGGTGGTCTGGTCTGATGAATTCAAGAATGGTTTGGGGAACACAACGAGGAGTTTGAGGTGTTGATTTGGCCTCCAAATCTCAGTTTACTAGAACACCTAGAAACACAAAGGACTTCAGGATCTGCTACTGACAGCTTGGTGCCAGATACCACAGAATCCTTTAGATGTTTAGTGGCATCCATGCCTCGATAGGTTATAATAGGTGGTCATAATGTTCTGGCTAATCTGTGTATATTCAATTGTGTGTGCCAAAAACCCAGTTATTACCTTGTAAATGTAGCAGTGATATCCTCACTGTGTTATACACAGCCTGTAAAGACAAAACTGCTGTGGGAGGGGCTCAGCAGGCCCCACCCATTACAGACTGCCTGCAGAAAACAACAGGACAGGGACGGAGACAAGACCACTCATGCTGTACAAAGAAAGAGAGCAGCAGTGGCTATTACAGGAAGCACCTGCACAGAGGCAATGTTTCACATTGGACTACTGCACAGGTTAGGTAGAAATACACAAAGCACACCAAGATTCAAGTAAGATTACACACATCTCTTGTATTTCAATGATATTTAATTCAGCATTCGGTTTTAAATATTCAAAATTTTCACATGATTGGATGAGTAAGGTGAATATTCCCCCTTTTTGAGTGAAAAATCTCAACAACTCTAGTAAATCTGCCCTAGAGTGCCTAACACAAATGTGGTTGCAGTTCCACTTTCACTGAATTATTACAGATCTGGGGTTTGTCAAATTTAAATTCAGCGACATGCATGAGAGCAGCAACTCTCTCTGCTCTCTCCCTCCTCATTTGGCAGATAGATAGCATTGGGAGCCATTGGCTCCTGCAGTTATCAATCAAACCCCACGACAAGGGAGTGGGGCTAAGCCCTACTGTCTGTGTCTAAGGACGCAGACACTGGGGCTTGGGTGGCGTACTCCACAGGGGGGGAGCCAAGAGTGCTGGCGGGGAACCAAAAAAAGAGGACAGGGGCTGTCCTGTGCAAAACCATTGCACAGAGCAGGTAGGTATAACATGTTTGTTATTTTTTAAAAAAATGTAAACGTTTAGAATCACTGTAATTCAATGAAAAATATGTGGACATATGAGCCTGTGTAAAAGTTAGTGGAAAGCTCAGCCACCATTGAGCACCTTTTACAACATAAAAGTAAGTGAACAGCAGCTGTGCGACAACCTAACTTTCCTACATGGTCTATTCTTCCTGAGACTGTATGTGAATTTTGATGACATTTTCTCTACAGCCTGGGGTTTTATTGCTTGAGACACATCTGAAATATTGATAATCTGCTACACAGCAGTTGCAATCTCCTTGACACCAAATCACAAATAACAGTCTATGTCTAAGCTTAAAATTATTCTAGTATGGATTTTGCCTGCTATACTCTCACTGCTGCATCGGTAAAAAGATGACCTCAGGATGAAATGAACTCAGACTAAACTAAATAAGGCACTGAGCACTGGGGAGTGAGAGACTAATGGCCTTCCCATGAGTCTTTTAGGACTGAAGACCATAAGGCCTAAACTTTGACTGATGGAGTAAAAGTTGATAAAAAGACCACAGACAGCTCATAGAAATACAAAGAGAACAGGCCAGCAAAAGCATTATGCAGCTTCATTCAAACATTAGGTACATAGGGAGGGCTAGACACAGCACATGGTTAAATGTCCAGATATCAATAATGTATGGTATAGGGTAATGAGAATAAACAATGCTGCATTGACCATCTGTAGAAATAATGCACACGGCAGGAGGAAAACACTTTAAAAAAGGCACTTCAGTAAACTTTAAAAGAGAAACTCCAGTTATAACAGCACTGTGCACTGCCTATCTATAAGGTGTTTTCTGCACAACCCAACACGGGTTCTAAAATGGAAGGAGAAGACTCCATTTTCTAAGCCTAGTTATTATTGGACGCTTCCATGAGGAACATTCCTAAACCCTACATGCTGAACAATTATTTCACTTTCTCACCCCTGTCCCAGTGCCTGAAAAATGATACTGTCAGAACTTCCAGTAGCAGCCTATGTGACTATGTGTTGGTTATCCTTGCTCTACATTATTGTAAACTCCCACTCAACCTGCCTTGAAATTTCAGCTGACCTGCACAGGATGATAGGGGTGTTAATATAGAGTAAAATTAGAGGTAATTATAGACAGCACAATAATAATAACTTTATTACATTTTCAATGTCAATGTTTTATTGAGATACAAGCCTATTTAATTTATCTTTTCCATGAGGAGGTACAATGATACAAACATCGTGTCTGCTACCATCCTGTAACTGCCAGCAGTGGTCAATATCAAGTATCTCTACACATGTAAGGCCTCATCCACATGTACTACATCGGTCATGGTGCAAGCAGATACACTGCGGATACCCGTAGCTGGGATGCCAGATGTACCAATCAGTGGAACACCCTGTACAACTCAGTGACAATGCAAGTAAAGATTTGAGTTAAAGCGGACCTTCACCCTCTTTATGCACTTTCCCCAATATTAATCCTTTCCCCCTTAATTTCACACAATAACAATTTTTATCAAAAGGCCCCTAACTTCACAGTTTCCCATTCTGGTGAGAATGACATGCCCCCACAGCCCACCTGGGATTCCCATGTCATTCTTCCAAGTAGGCTTTGGGGCAATCTACCAAAAATACTCAGTGTGTAATCAGGGCCCCTGATGGTGCACTGTGGCACATCTACAGCATCAGGGGGCCAGGTACAAGAACCAAGAGACAGCCAGCTCCCAATGAAGTTATAGAGCAAGATGGCAGCAGGGGACCTGGTGTGCGGCAGTGGATTAACGATTAACTACAGAATGCCACTTGGCCATAATCCAGAAGTGGAAAGAACATGATTTCAACATAAATCAGCCACGACCAGGTGCTCCTCGCAAGATTTCTAACAGAGTGAAAAGTATTATCAGACTTGTCCAAGAGCCAAGGACCACTTGTGGAGAGCTTCAGAAAGACCTGGAATTAGCAGGTACAATTGTTTCAAAGAAAACAAGTAATGCACTCAACCGCCATAGCCTATATGTACGCTCACCACGCAAGACTCCATTGCTGAAGAAAAAACATGTTGAATCTCGTTTAAAGTTTGCTGCACAACATTTAGACAAGCCTGTGAAATACTGTGAGAATATAGTCTGATCAGATGAGATCAAAACTGAACTCCTCAGATACCATAATACACATGTTTGGAGATCAAATGGTGCTGCAAATCACCCCAAAAACACCATACCAACAGTGAAGTTCGGAGGTGGGAACATCATGGCGTGAGGCTGTTTTTCAGCATTCAGTACTGGCAAACCTCATATCGTTGAAGGAAGGATGAATGGAAAAATATACCAAGACATTCTTGATAAAAATCTGCTGCCATCTACCAGGATGATGAAGATGAAATGAGGGTGGACATTTCAGCAAAACAAATGATCCAAAACACAAAGCAAAGGAAGCTCTAAACTGGTTTTAAAGAAAGCAAGTAAATCTGGTAGAATGGCCCAGCCAATCACCTGATTTGAATTTAATAACAAATCTATGGAAAGAACTAAAGATCCGAGTTCATAGAAGAGGCCCACAGAACCTTCATGATTTGTGTGGAAGAATGGAACAAAATCACACCCGAGTAATGCATGAGATTAGTTTCTCCATACAAGAGGCGTCTTGAAGATGTCATTACCAACAAAGGATTTTGTACGAAGTATTAAATACATTTCAGTTAGCGTGTTCAATACTTTTTCCCTGTGTCATTCCATTTTATTACAAATAGCTTAATTTCTGAACTTATTTGTTTTGGTTTCTTTGTATGTATGGATTATTACCGACAAGTGATGAAAAATTCATGGCAAAAGCACCTTTAGAAGTGTGTGTGTTACATACACAGGTTATTAAGTGGTTAAAACCCAGTACCAGCAGATAGTTTTCACTCCAGCAGATGGCCTAGGTTGGATGAGGAGATTTTCATTGTGGATCTCCTGAAGAGAGGTAGTTGAATTTGGCTGCAAACTTGAAACAGGGGTCACTTGTGGGCCACGGCTGCAGATTTTTAACAAGGCAGAGCACAGGAATGAAGATTTAAAGAATAAATCATTACCTGTACAGCAAGGCAGGATGCATTGTCAGAAAGCAGAACCTGTTCACCTGAGGAAAGACAAAAACACAGCAGTTTCAACACTCTGAACATATTTAGAAGACGACAAAGGGTCTGAGAAATAATCCATAACAAACAGACTTTAATATGACAATCAGCACTACAAGAAATGGCAACTTGAGGCTAAAATGGTTACCGTGGGCAACAGAGACTAGTCGCCCAGTTAAAAAGAAAAAAGAAAGAAAAGAACTTATTTTCAGAAACAGAATTTTGAAGCATTAAATGTGTACTAAATAGCTTATTTTTCTAAGAAACATACTAGATACAGTGCATACAGAAAGTATTCACAGCATTTAACTTTTGCCACATTTTGATATGTTATATCCTTATTCCAAAATGGATTAAATGTATTTTTTTCCTCAATATTTTACAAATACCCCATAGTGACAACGTCAAAGAAGTTCATTTTGAAATCTTTGCAATTTAGTAAAAATAAAAAATGAAAAAAAACACTTGTACATAAGTATTCACAGCCTTTGTTCAATATTTTTTTGAAGCACCTTTAGCACCAATTAAAGCCTCAAGTCTTTTTGAGTATGATGCTACAAGCTTGGCACACCGATTTTAGGTTTTTTTTTTTTTTTTTTTTTTTTTTTTAAGAAACAAATAACAAACATGTCTATACTTACCTGCTGTATGCAGTGGTTTTGCACAGAGCATCCTGCATCCTCCTCTTCTCGGGTCCCCCGCAGGCTCTCCTGGCCCCTCTATTCCTATCGGGTGCCCCCACAGCAAGCAGCTTACAATGGGGGCACCCACTGCTCTGTGTGTCCATTCACACACAGAGCTGCGTCTCTACCCCGCCCCCTTTCTCTTCTCATTCCCTCACTGACTGTGATTGACAGCAGTGGGAGCCAATGGCAGTACACCCATACATCCCTATGAACTGTGGATTTGAACATTTGCATGTGAGTTGTTTATATATCTTATTAAACATTCATTGTGCAACTTATTACGCTATGAGAGATTCTTCCTATGCTTATGTCATCCGGGAGAGAGGTATAGCGTGCTGAGCCCAGGAGCCAGTGTATCCTGAATACCTACCGGATGGGAATCCTATGGGAGATTGGCTGGCTGGTGATTTCTATCTATGGTGGATCAAGATCCTGAGTGATCTTAAAGGCATATAGGCCCTTTGGGCCGTAGAGTGGAGGTGAGGGGGCAATCGTACCACAGGAGGAGAGTCACTTACCATCACTTGAAGCTATTGTGTGATCACTTGCATTGCATCATATTGCTTGGAGTTGAACACCACGGCATAGTGTTATGAACTTTTTGTGATATCTATCTATTTACTCACATTCACATCAGTGAGTGGCACTGGGGGACACGTTTATTATTGAGATTTATTTCTCTAAATAATCACATTGTTTGGTCACCTTTTTTGAATGCATAGATGTGTGACATGTTACTGTGATTAGTTTTTCATATATATGTTATTCACATTATATGTCTAGCGCTGCACTAATTGATTATATGTGATTGTATTATTACTGTTGGGTACCAGTTTGAGTGCTAGCGGCTCTTTGATTGGTATAGGGACTCCATTGAGCGCAGGAGGACTACGTATTATTAAGCCAATGGCTCCTGCTTCTGTCTCAGCCAATGAAAAGGAATCCCGGGATAGCTGAAACTCCATTGCACAACGCTGGATCGAGAGGGGGTTAGCTGAGTATTAGTAGGGGCTGGGGGGGATGCTGCACACAGCATACCCCTTTACAACCACTTTAAGGACTACAAAACCCATATTGAGGTAAAGTCCGCTGTCATCGAAGTAGGATGAACACTTAACAAACCAGCAACCAGCCCTCCAGTGGTAGCCATCCTCAAAAGGGACATAACCAACTGCTAGACCAGTTATGATGACTGCAGCACTGATTCTCACATTTTCCTTCAACTCCATTCTAGAATTCTTCATTATTGAGCTGCTTGAACAAAATTCAACATAAAGGAAATAATGTTTCCCGTAGAATTTAGAGTTCTTCCTTTTTTATTTGAATAAGAACAAACTTTACTAGCAAACCAAGTACATAACATACTACATACAGTATATACAGCCTTAAAGGCTAACCCCACCTATTAGGCCATGTTACAACAATATCTAGGGTATAAACATGTAACATGGCTGCAGGCTGACCCTACCCCAAAAATTACCCCCCTTCTTTTTTGCCATTTGTTTCAGATATTTCCCTTTGCTTCCTTGAGAGGATATCTTAGACATTTGTCATGGAAACAAGTGTCCCCACTGAAACATTATTCAGCTCTGATGGCAACTAACTCAAAATTTTAGATTTACATCACTTTCATTCCCAGTTAAATTGGGTGATCAAGACAATTTGAGAAGGTGAATCTCCCTAAAAAGGGACACAGACAGCAAGAAAAAAGTGACAGTCCTTGTCATGCTAACCTAATCTAAAGAAAATATTTTGCCTATTAGTTATACTTGAATTGATTAACATCACTGAAGCATGGTCATTGGACAATGGAATGGCAGTTGGCAGATATAAAGGCTAAGTTCACCTTTCCAAAAAAAAAAAAAAATTAAAAAAAATGTGCATTTATATATTTTTTAATGGAGCCTGTAGAGCATTGCACCTGCAATCAAAAGATTGCAGGTGCAATGTCAGGCTCCTGCACAGTATTCCTCTAATTTAGTGCCTGTATCCCCATACCAGCTTTCAGTTACAAAGCTAGAGGAAAACAGAATGAGCTATGAGCATAAGGAGCTCATTCACAGCCCATTCAAACTACAAGTATGTTTACCATGGTGGCACACAGTACTTGTAGTTTTTTCATTCATAGTAAATCTGTAAAAGAATGGCGTGCTTGTGTGGGCAGAGCCCAGAACAGCTGCACTGTTTTCAAAAAGTAACAGTGGGTGCAAGGAAAGGATCCCCCTCCAGCTGTCCCAGACAGAGGAGTGCTGGTGGTGGGTACATAGCAGCATGTTACATGCTCCTAAAGGTAGATTTATCCTTTGAGCTATGAAATCAGGATAGTAAATCAGAAAATGAGTTTTTCTGACTAATACGTGTTAGATATGTTGGCATCTTGTGGTGCCTGCACCAGCAGGACTTAAAGAGTTCAAGCTTTCTTTAAAGTGCTGCCCAAACTGTTGGCCCTATATAAGTCCTGTATAATAATAATGGATTGGTTGTGCAGAGCAATAAACAAATATTGAGAAACATCCAAGGTCCCTTCTTATAGGTGCTGTCCAAATGATGACTGCTGAAATATTCTTGAGTCACAACTACTCCCACATAAGTCCCAATCAGTGCAGACAAAGCAACAGACAGCAATAGATAAAGCTCACAAACCAAGATGGCATCTGTAATTTTTTTACCGGCTATCTGACTTCTGGGATTTGTCCAGTGCTGCATTTGTCCAACCTAAATCATTTATGTCACTACACTCAACCAGCAAGTTCCTTCTCGGCTTTTAAAGGAAAGGGCAAGAATTCTAGAATAATAAAGAGGTCTCGTTTACTGTAACCAGAACTAGATTTAAAGGTAAATCACAAAACACACTGCAAGGAATTAACGATAAATACAAATATTATTTCCCGTCAGTTCCTTTCGATGTGTATAACTAGATAGGGACTGTTCTTAATGGCAAGTGAAATAAATGTATAATCTGCATTAGCAGGATTAGTATATAAGCCACTCCCATAACAAGCTGAATGATTATGCAAATGAGGATCATTGCGGCACAAAACAGAAATGCGTATTTAAAATACGTCTACCCATAGGTGCAGAGAAGACACAAAAACACATAATAAAAAAAACAAAAAGAATGGACTCTACAATCTACAGCACTGTCATATAATTAAGCGCTGCCTCATACACATATTAGTTATATAGCAAGTGTGTGTGTGTGTGGGGGGGGGGGGTTATAAAGCTTGCACCAGTTAATCAAACAGGCAATTTTGTACTTCACATAAAAGCTATATACCTAAACACATGCAATAATTTATAGTTCAGAAAGAAAAAACACGGCAGCGCATAAGAATGTTTTTATCAGCCTTTTTGAGATTCTCAACATCTCCAGTCCTTTTTTTTTATGTTACAAAAAAATCCATGTATATTACAGCTCAGAAACCAAATTCAGAATCACACCATATGAGCTTGCAGTTTATATTGCAAAAGGCAGCTCGAGCCATCAGACAAAAGAGGAATGACAAGATCACTGCAATAAAAATTCCATGCCTAAAAGACTACAGGCTGCCATGTATTAGTCTTCATTACTTTGCAGCCTTCTGACAATTGGAGCAGGCTGCAGATCACCAAATGTGGGCAATAATGTAATCTGATGATATATGAAGAGCTGCTGAAGGGAGCAAGGACCACTCCAGCCTGTGTATTTTAACAGCTCTTCTCCAGCAGCCCCCTCCACCCCTTTTCCATTAACCATGACACTTCCAATATCTGCTGGCTCAGCTTTTCCACTGCAGTAACCATGCCAACTGTACCTGCCTCGGTATTATTTCATATAGCCATCGGCGGCCACATTACCAAGTCAATAACACAATCCTGGCTGGTTGGGAGGGATTTTACAAGGCTGTGCTCAAAGTCATTGTGTGCATTGATAATTAAGCACGTTGCAAGTGTCTCTTTTAATACAGAGATGGCTTCAGCACTGTACTGCACTGCTTCAATATTAGGCAGGACTATTACACATCTTAGATTATATAAAATAATCCCACTCCTATTGTGGACTATCAGATACTTCCCCAACCAAAGATTCAAACATTCTGTCTGGTGAGAAGATTGCCCAATATTAAAAAGGGTCTCTTTTGATGAAAGTTCTTCATCAGTTAAAGGCTAATTTATCACATTTTCTGTTTACTTTTCAGGTCTAACTACTTCTACAAATCAGTCTTCACCAAGATTCTGCTTTGTATCTTCTACTGTAGGACTTTCCTCATGAGCTCAGTCATACATCAGTCTTCTTCCTAACCTCAGTCATCTCTCCTAGCAAACCCAACTCCCCCTGCCACCAACCTCAGCCTCACAATTAACCACTCTGCTGGCTGACATTACTGAACCTATTTATTGTACTGGCTAAAGGAAAGATATGTGTCCTGTAGGAAGGTTGTTCTAAAATTGAAGCTGTAGACCTGTCAGGCCAGTATTAGATCAACAGTCTTTGTTGGAAGGTGTAGAGCCATTTCTAGTACATAAAGCATTTTAGAAATGTTCACACCAAACATTATTATTTCTAAGAGGAAAAAACAAATTCTTTATTTTTAGGAATAACCCAGATAAAAGCATATTAAAGCAGTAGTAAAGGCGAAAAAATAAAAAATTGGGCCCTCAGGAGGTTTAAGTCATAATGTGCTAGTAGGTATTGCACATACTAGAATATTATGACAGACTCCCCTTAAAATAAAAGCCCTCCAGCAGCATGCTATCACCGCTGTCAGACTTTCCATCTTCCTGTTCTTCCTTCCAGGTTCGCGGGCTCCAGCCATTTGAATGGCCAGGCCTGCGATGACATCACTCCAGCGCATGAGTCACATTGCCACACAGCGCTCTGCACGGATGGCATACTCTAGTATGCCGTCCATTCAGAGGGCAGTTCCCATGTGCCAGTGACGTAACTAGCCTCTACAAATGTGAATATCTCCTGAACGGTAAACATTTAGGAGATATTTACTGTACCTACAGGTACACCTTATTATAGGCTTACCTGTAAGTCCTAAAGCGGACTTTACTACTGCTTTACATAAGCAGTCTGCAACACACTTTTTAAGGGATTTCGTGACCAAGCAGAAGGGCTTAAAAGGATAAGTTCACCTTTTGCTAAAAAAAAAAAAATAATAATAAATAATAAGTGCACATTTTTTTGCACGTAAAAAAATGTGCATTTATTATTTTTTGCTGCAGGAACCTCTAAAGCATTGCACCAACAATCAGCAGATCACTGGTGCCATGCAGGTCTCCTGCAGATCTGTCAGTATATCTGCTTGCCTGGATTTGCTTGGATGTATGAGAAAGCAGAAATACTGACAAGAAGATTAAATGAACTATCAAGGCATTCCACAGCACTGTAGTAGTTCATCGAGAACTACAAGCCAACAGCTGCTAAGGCTGTGGGGGCTTGTAGTTTCTCATTCACAAAAAAGTTATTCGGCAGCTAGCAGGGGGGTGGAGGAGAAGATCCCCCGCTAGCGGTCACAACGGGGATCGGTGGGGAGCGGTTGCAGCTGCTTTCATAACATGTTACATCCTGAATATGGGTACAACATATAACATGTTATGAAAGGTGAACTTATCCTTTAATGTACTTTATAACCACAAACTGAAGGATTCCTCATGCCTCAGACTGGTACCAGAGGGAGGGTAAACTAAAAGACAGTACTGCGACAACATCGACTGAAACGAGATATCTTGAGATACCTGGTGGCCGCTACCCAGGCAGTTATCCCCCGCTACTGGAAGTCCACTTCTGTGCCCTCCTTGGGAGAGGGGGTTAATGAGCTGGACTCTATCCATGACCTTGAACGTCTGTAGGCGCGGAAATCGGGAAAAAAATGGATCTGTTCTCTTCCATCTGGACCCCTTGGACCTTGTTTTGCTACTCCCCCAAATTCCACTCCTGGGTTGCCGGTGGAGCTGACCCCTCTCTGGTGTAGCCATGGTGGAGCGGTATGCCATCCGTGATCCCCCTCATTTTTTCTTATTGCTCCATATTAGTCCCCCTTTTTTTTCCTCCCTTTTATTCTCCCCCCTTCTTTCTCCTTCTCTTCCTCCTCGACGCGCCCTGTTAGCCGACCATTTCCTCCTATCTTTATAATATTATTGAATATATTCTGAAATGTGTTCCCGCACTATACAACCCTTGCCCCCTAGGCCTTAGCGCCCGGGGCTATGCCTTTGTTAATGTTGTGGTTACTCTTCATGTTGGACCGATATACATTTCTCTCGTCTTTCGCCAATCTGACTCAATGTATCATATTTGTGTCATACCTATATCTGTGATTATTGATATGCGCGGATTGGTTCCTGACGTTTACTTTTATGCACTTTTCCTTCCTGTATCTGTATTCCTTGTTATCATTTGTCTTATTGAAAACTCAATAAATTCAGATTGAACTAAAAGACAGTACTGCTCTAATGCTCCAGAAGGGGAGTCCTGTGACTGGTAACACTGGAGTTGATTTACTAAAGTTGGAGAGTGCAAAATCTGGTGCAGCTCTGCATAGAAAACCAATCAGCTTCCAGGTTTCATTGTCAAAGATTAATTGAACAATCTGAAAGCTGCACAGCAGCACCAGATTTTGTACTCTCCAGTGTTAGTAAATCAACCTCACTATATGCTGGTGCTGGACAGAATGCAAGGCTTGTCAGGGTCAGCTTAGACTACAAGAAAATAGCACCCAGCCTATCACAATATCAACAGACAGTAAAGCCAAGATAGTAAAAGATATGCCTCTATGATTAGGCCGCACATGGGTGAAATGCACCAGGGGGGTTCTTCTATGGGTGTAGAACGAGCTCAAGCCGATTCTCAGCATCTTTTACTATCTTCGCTTTATAGTCTGCTTATCCTGTGTGCGTCCATTTTCCTAGAGTACCTAAGTTAGACACCTCAAAGTAGCCTCCTGAGGTTTCTCGGGGTTCTTTGAGCAGTGTGCCATGTTGACTTGATTTCTTATCCACAATGACCGCCAAAAAAAGGGGGATATTTTAGGAGACATTTCTACATTCTCCACTACTGATATAAGACAGCTCAGTTTTCAAGGTCTGCATTTGTTTTTCTCATACCAACTAAAAATCTTTTATATTATACAGCAGGTGGTGTTACAAATGACCCACCCTGGGTGTTTATTACTCTAGGTACACCAAATGTTTTTTTTCTTGTTTTTTTTTAACTTTCTATGAATTACTAAATGTGCTAAAGTACCATGAGTCGTGGGTATAAATATTTAGCAGGAGTTCCCCAAAACCTGAACATTTACAGGTTCTTCCATTGTAAAAAGCATAGGAAAGACCACACTAGAATATTGATTGGACAGACTGCCTGAAAATCTTCATAGTAAAAAGCATAAATCGTAGGGATGCAAAAGTAAACATGTTTTTTGTCAAAGCTGAAACACATCACCACAGGATGTTTTGGATGATAGTCATCTTTATAAAAAAACATTCAAATACAACTTACAATCCATTGCGGTTGGGACCACAGAGGCCACTAAGATGTCCAAAGGTCCATTTACATCTATGATTTGCAGCAATGTGAACATTACAACAAAGCACGCTCCATGTGTTTCTATTCATTTTGAATGACACCTCAGTGCGCTAAGGCAATGCTTGTGTTGCAACAAGCTGCAAAGCATGACAATGTACTCTAGTGCATTGCAGAAAACACTTTGTGACATGTCCAGTTTTTCGAAACGTTTAGGTATCTCAGCTACCTATTGATTTCAGTAGACTGCCATAATACATGCATTTGACACAAAAATAACAGAATACACAAATATAGGAGGGTCTTATGATTACCTGAAGTGTTACTAAACCCAGGACTCTGCATTCACTATATCTGGTCCCCCACAGTACACACAACATGGAAATGCAATTATTCTAGTAAATATAAACTGCTAAATATCTTTTCTCATCAGCAGTTGGAGCATTCTTGTGAATTCTATCAGTGTCCAGCAAAGCACTGGTTAATCTTGTAGGAGGAGTTTTCATTCTCCCCTGATTGTCCTATGAGGCTGCTTGACCCTGACCCCCTGTCTGGACAGTACTGCTTGGCCCTGCAATTATTATTATTATTATTATACAGTATTTATAAAGCGCCAATAGTTCGCTCAGCGCTGTACATTACAAAGGGGGACAGAACATGTGACAGAACAATACCAATACAATGCAAAACATGAGGGGATCGAGGGCCCTGCTCTTTCAGCTTACAATCTAGGAAGGAGGGGATTGTGGCACAGGAGGAGATAGCTGTGGGGGATGGAGTGGTAGGAAGAGTGGAGGAGGTCGGCAAGTTAGCAGGGGGTGGGGTAGGCTTCCCTGAAGAGATGGGTTTTCAGGGTGCGCCTAAAGGAGAGGAGAGTAGATGATAATCTGATGGGTTGGGGCAGGGAGTTCCAGAGGATGGGTGACACCCTGGAGAAGTCCTGGAGGCGGGCATGGGAGGAGGAGACCAGGGAACTAGAGAGAAGGAGGTCTTGTGAGGAGCGGAGTGTGCGTGCTGGGCGGTACTTGGATATTAGGTCAGTGATGTAGTTCGGGGCAGTATGGTGGACAGCTTTGTACGTCAGTGTTAGGATTTTGAATTTGATCCGTTGCACAATCGGAAGCCAGTGGAGGGATTGGCAGAGGGGGGTGGCAGAGACGGAGCGGTTAGAAAGGTGAATGAGTCTGGCAGCCGTATTCAGGATCGACTGAAGTGGGGATAGCCAACGGCGAGGCAGGCCAGTGAGGAGGGAGTGCAGTAGTCGAGTCGTGATATGATGAGGGAGTGGATGAGCTGTTTAGTGGTTTCTGGGTTAGGAACGTGCGGATTTTGGCGATGTTGCGGAGGTGGAGTCACATGCACCCTCCCATATAAAAGAACACTCTGTAGCGATACACACTAAACTGAGCATGTGCAGTGACTCATAGAGCTCTGTACTATCAGCAGATGGGTTGGGGATAGTAGAGAAAGGGGAGGATCAGAGAAGACAGAATCAAACAGCCTTTTTACGCAATGCGGAGGATTACCCCTTAGGTTTCACAGGGAGTATAACAAGCATGCTTTACTACATATACAGACTGATTTTACTGTTGTGGTTTAGCAACACTTTAAATGGCCTAACACAATACACTCATTTCAGCAGCAATGGGACACTGAGCAACGCACATTGCTGTATAAATGTTATAAGGAATACTCACTTTTCTTTGGCTGATAAATAGTCGCATTTTCAGGCCATGGTTCCACAGCTGTGAAGAAAAAGAAAGATTTATGTTTTACTGCACAGATTAACAAATATATGCATTTGCTACAGAGTATGTTACTGCTTCTAAAAATATCAATCTAAGGTTAAGATGTAGCAAACTATTTAAAAAAAATACAATGTATCAGACCTGGACTATTTTGTTTTTGAAAAGATCATCCACAATTTAATTCTTCTCTTTATGGGTAAACCTTCAATTTATGCTCAAATACCTGCATCTACATAGCTGTCTAGCTGGGGAGTGGTAATTCAAGCACTGGCCTGGGGGGAGGTGTCAAGAAAACATGCTCCTCTCACTCAGCAATGCATACAATAGATGAGAGATTAGGGCATGTCATTGGCTGCACTGTTGTAATTTACATGAATTTCTGTATACAGTGACCACAGATGTTCACCCACTACCCTGCATGGGCTTTCAATAGAGGAAGATCTAAACAATTTGGACTGTACAATGATTGCTGGTACTAAACAAGGTAGTTTCACCATCGATAACCTTTTATCTTCATACACTGGATCTCTAGAGGTTTTACTTGCAGGAGTTAGCAAATCTGACTACTTCAGAAGAGTCAATTCCCTAGCAACGCCCTCCCTTCCTTCCTTTCATGTTACAGCCCTCTCCTCTTCTGGGAGTGTAAAGTTACTGTCTGTGCTGGCCCAGCTGCTCCATACATTTTGTATTACTATTATGTATCTGCAGGAGAAGGAGTGAAGGGGAATACTTGACAGTCACTACCGTGTCAGTCAGAGCTGCTGAAATCACATCCAAGGTGGTGGTGCCAAGTAGCAGTCTCACATCTTTTGGATGTCTACACAAGGGAGGCTTTTACAGGTAAATAAGGTTTCTAAAAAAAAAACATTAACTGCACATACACCGATCAGCCACATGTTTATGACCACCCACCATAACATGACCACCCACCAAATATTATTATTATACAGGATTTATATAGCACCAACAGTTTGCGCAGCGCTTTACAAAATGAAGGTAGACATTACAGATACAATACAATTTGCTACAATAGGAAACAGAGGGCCCTGCTTGTTACAGCTTACAGTCTAGGAGGAATGGTTGAGTGATACAAAAGGTAACAGCTGTGGTGGATGAGCTGATGGAGGAAATAAATGGCAGTTTACTAGTTAGAAGCAGGATAGGCTTCTTTAAAGAGAAAGGTTTTCAGGGATTGTCTAAAGGTGGATAGCCAGACAGATTGGGGTAAGGAGTTCCATAGGATGGGAGAAGCTCGAGAGAAGTCCTGGAGGTGAGCATGGAAGGAGGTGACACGGGAACTAGAGAGCAGAAGATCTTGGGATGATCGAAGAGAGCGGTTTGGTTGATATTTTGAGACCAGGTTGGTGATGTAGCTGGGGGCTGAGTTGTGGATGGCTTTGTATTTTGAATTTTATTTATTGGGCAAGTGGAAGCCAGTGGAGGGATTGGCAGAGAGGGATAGCAGAGACTGAACGGTTGGTAAGGTGGATGAGTCTGGCAGCAGTGTATTCATGATGGACTGGAGAGGGGTAATCTATGTAAAGGTAAGCCAATAAGGAGGGAGTTGCAGTAGTCGAGGCAAGAGATAACCAGGGAGTGAATTAGGAGCTTTGTGATATCATTGGTTAAAAAGGGGCATATTCTGGAGATGTTGAGGTGGCACGATTTGGACAGGGATTGGATGTGGGCCTAAAAGGATAGTTCAGAATACAGAGTTACACCTAGCACTCTAGCATGAGGGGATGGGTTGATAGTGGTGCTATTGATCCTGACCGAGAAATCAGGGGAAGAGGCACGTGGGGGAGGAAATATGAGCTCAGTTTTGGATAGATTAAGTTTTAAGAAGTAGTGTGACATCCAGTCTGATATGTGTGTTAGAAAATCGGTGATACGTGAGGAAATATGGAGTATGCCCCCCTTTTGCCACCAAAACAGCCCTGACCCATCGAGACGTAGATTTCAGTAGACATCTGAAGGTACACTGCAGTATCTAGCAATAAGCTTTCAATAGCACATCGCTGCCTCCACTGGCATGGCTTCTTCCTATAGTGCAACCTGGTGCCATCTCTTCCCCAGGTGAGCATTGCATATGCACGTGGCCAGCACCATGAGATAAAAGAAAACGTGATTCATCATAGTAGGCCACCTAGCTGTGTTCAATTCTGATGCTCATGTTCCCATTGCAGGTATTTTTGCCTGTGGACACGGGTCAGCATGGGACTCCTGACCAGTCTGTGGCTACATAGCCCCATGCATAAACTGCAATGCACTATGTGACCAGAATCATTAACTTTTTCAGCAAATTGAGCTACAGTAGCGCTTCTATTGTACTGAACTACACAGGCCAACCTTCATTCTCCACATGCATCAATGAGATTTGGCCGCTCCTGACCCTGTCGCCAGTTCAACAGTTTTCCTTCCTTGGACTACTTTTTGTAGGTCCTGACCACTGCAGTCCGGGTACACCCCACAAGAGCTGCAGTTTTGACCTGTCCGAGAGTGCGTAGGCTCTGGATTCGGGTGTACTCCCTGATACACTTGCTCCTCCACTATAACCCCAGTTGAGGCACTACTACTCAGACCCATACAGGCAGTTCGTAAAAAACACTGTAAATTAATCACATTCCTGTTTATCGCTACTAGGCAAACTATTGCTCATTCTTGTAAGTCACCAGTTCTCAGCTTCCAGGAAGTCGAACATTGCCTGGCCGACTTCATTGTCAATGAAAAATTGACAGCCATACTGGAAGATAAGCAGGACACGTTCTTGAAGATCTGGTCTCCATGGATAGATCACTGGCAATCCAATTTGAGCGCATTACAACTATGATCATCCCCTATTCCTTTCTCTCACAGCTACAGAATTAAATCATTGAGGTGAAGTGACCCTTCAAGGTGCTGCTCTCCCCTCCATTTCCATCCTATTCTCTTCTCTATTATTCCTTCTTTTTCTCTCAACTACTCCTTCTTTCCTTCTCGATCAATCCCCTTCCACTTCTCCCCCCCGCCCCCTTTTTTTTTTTTCATCTCCATGTTGCAATATCAGAAGGCAATCCTGCAGGTGCCCCATTCAAATCTGCAATCATTGAAGAAGAGTAGGGCCCTGGCATATCCGCGGAGTTCTGTCTGGCCTTACCGACTCTGGTAGCCTTGCTGCCCTAATGTTACCTGTTACTCTTGGTGCCTGCAATGGAATGCCCCAGCCCCCCTTTTTTTTTTTTTTGTATCCCTGATTTTAGTTTTGCTTTTATTGTATTTTACTGTATGTTTCATTTCCGTAAACATATAAATGCTAATAAACATTTTATTGAACCAGAAAAATTGTAAGTGTGTATGTTATTGCAAATGATTGCTTTATTAAAAAAAAAAAGTCAGTGTGATTGGCCTTACATATCCAATTGTCATGTAATGTCCATGGCCCTCCCATAACTGAATACAGCCGGGTATGTCCCTGGGCACTCACATGCTTTGGGATTATGGTAACCTATTAATAAAGCTGTACTTCAGATGGGCACAACAAGGGTTACACAGCACTCATAAAACTGGCAGCTTTACTCTTGAATTGTGATCTGAAAGGTGAACAACATTTGCAGAACAGTAGGCATGGAAATTACACATTGCTACAGCTCTGTCATATTTCCAATCCATCAACTTGATTAATGTTATAATAACTCCACATAAACTTATCATTCACGCTATAATGAAGTCAAACTCTAGTTTATTCTCGGACTACAAGGCTCCCCTAGGCAGGCAGGCAGGTAAATAACACATATATACAGAATATTCCTGAATTTGGTGCACTGAATTACAAAAGTATACATTTAAAAAAAGGAGGAACCAAAAAAGGTTTTCTAGCATAACATTTTCAACAAAAAAAAAAATATGATGCATTATATGTGCATGTCTTATTCTTCTGCATTTTAAACTACCTGACAATGAGGGTGAGGAAAAGGGGTGGGGGTGGCAGGTTTGGTGATAATGGTGGAGGGGGCATATTCATGCGGGAGATAGGGGTCAGGTATGGTGGTCAGTATAAGAATGCATGCAGGTGCAAGTGAGGCATATATGTGTGTTAATGGGTGTTTAGAGAGAGGATGGTGGTGTGTGCAGCCGCAGCAGTAATGGGGGACGGGGGGGTTAACTGCTGGCAGAGTAGTATAAGCAAATGGGGGGTGTAGTGCTTGCAGAGTAGTGATTCACTTGGGTTGCTTTTCTAAATACAAATAGACTGTGCACTTTGCAAGTGCAGTTGCATTCATTTTCCCTAGAGGCAATTGAATGCGGTAAAGCTCTGTTAATTTCCATTATCCAATCACTTGCAAGCATTTTTAATTCCCTTGCACCTGATTAGGTATTTTTTTTTACAAAGTGAAGCTTTTGTAATTAGCAGACCTTTATCACATTTATTTATTACAGGTACTTCTATAGTGCCGTCAATTTACACTTATATATATTGCCTATGCACAACAGTCCCTGCCCTCAAGGAGCTTACAATCTAAGGGCCCTAACTCACATCCATACACATACTAGGCACAATTTTGACAGGATCCGATTAACCTACCACCACTAAGCTCTGGGGAAATTAATGCAACTACATGTGCAAAGTGCACAGTCTATTAGCCTATAGCCTTTAGTAAATCCAGGCCACTGTATTCTCTATTTCTTTCCTGAGGTTTATGTGACCTGCACTGTGCTAGACAATTCTTGATGTTTCCAGCAACCATTATACCTGGTGATACACGGGTTCTATGTGTCCACAAATCTGAAATGTGAAAATACATAGAACCACAGCAAATAGAAAAACTGCAAGAATGGAAACAAAGGTAATTAAAGGACTAATCCCAGGGGACACGTAAAAGGATTAGGTATAGCTCTTATGTAATCCAGTAAAAACTGCAACTCACCTAAAATACAAAAACGTCTTCATTTGTCAAAATCGAAACGTTATATAATCCGTTGAAGCTAGAGTACCTCCCATGTGAGCTAGGACCTTTTCC